CTAAAGTTGTCCTCTATCCTCTACACACATACACACATGTGTGTACCAGTACACAAATGCACACCACACACCACACACACACACACACACACACACACAGGTTAAAGGGAAACAGCTGTAGACTATCTTTCCAATAGTCTGGCTCAAACCTATCTGAAAGAGGTTTATTCAAAGTTGACTGAATGCTATGAAAACATCTTTAATACAAAAATGAGTCATATGATTCATTTTGAACAAAGAGTTAATGACTTGGTAAAGACTGTCTAGTTTGGTCAGGAAATAATTATATGAATATGAAAATGAGAGAAAAACAAAACAAAAAATAAAAGAAAACCAAAACAAAGTAAAACCCCAAAACCCAAACATTTCTTGGGTTCTCTCAACTGAGTGAAGAACAGGATGCTCTAATCCACACAAATATTTTAATTCAAGTCGAGACATTTTGTAAATATACCCCCCCAATGACTAGCATCTATTGAGCTTTCTGAGTACATGAACTGTCTGTACATTGAGAAAGACTGGGTGTTGACTGTAAGACTTGTGCTGAAATGACTGACAAGAAGGAATTCCAAACTTAATTTTGAAAATATTGCAAAGCTGAGGAACAGGACTTTGATGTGTGGCTCCTTCTGCTAGAATTCCTAAAGTTGTTAAGAATCATATTGTGCTATGTGAAAATGGTCATGGGCAAATTACTTTGAATTTAATTAAAATGTAAGGAATTTGTAATGAACACATGCAATGATTGTTTTAGAGTCTTGTATAATATTGCCCACATTTAAAGGTCAGGGCAAACAGAGTGGACATGGAGTTTGGTGGGTAGGGTGAAGAGGATCTGGGAGGATTTGAGGGAGGAGAAACCATGATCAAAAATACATATTTTTTCAGTAAAAAAAATCAGAGAAAGAAGAAATGTGTTCTCAAAAATTGTATTTTAACTAAAATTCTTTGAGTCAGTCATATATAGTTAAGTAAACTGGAACAAGTTGGTAGTCTTGACACTGTGTTCCCTCAAAGATTTCTCTGAAAAAAAAGAGTATGCTGTAGAATTTTACTAGTACCCTGTGACTGGATGATGCAGGGTAATTTCAGATGGGAGAATATGATGACCCTTTAAGCAATCTTTGAGTATGTCAAGATGTCTCAGGGGTAAAATGTTTGTTGCTAAGCCTGCTGACCTGAGTTTGAGCCCCAGGACCTACACAGTAGATGGGAAACAATTACCACAGGTTGTTCTCTTGCTATGGTAAATGCACTCACCATACATGTAAATAAATAAATAAGGGATGAAAAGATTTAAACTGTAATATTCTATATGATTACCATAATTAATTTACCTATCCCATGATAAAAGTCTTTCACACTTGCAGGATTTTAGATTATATTCAGAGACAGAATAATTACCTTCTGAAGTATAGAAATACAACTAAAAGACCTCAATAAAAGACTGGCATCAAGTTGCTATCCCAGCTCCATTACCTCAGAACTATGGAGTACAATCGTCACTTTGAGTTAATTGGGGTTTGGAGTAACCAAGAAAAAAATCTAGGATAAGCAAAAGCTCTTGGTGTTCCATTGCAGGATATTCCACATGTCTTTTCCTTTTTCATTCATATGTTCTGCATATACCCAGACACTATGAGGGACACCTGGAGAATGGCTTCAGATGGCAGCTGCCTCTGGGCCTCAGAATTGAGATACCAGGTTCACAGCCGTTTGTAGGGCAGCCACCACACAGTGAGTGGACAATGTGGTAATAGTAATTCCCATGTCCTTAATATTGGGGATGACTCTGAAGGTTCACCAGGTTCAGAACCCCTGAGACTTGCAATGAAATAACCGAATCCTTTTATGTGCTGCCTTGAAAGCATTGTCTCCTGAGTTCCCTTCATGATAACCCCCTTCACAGCCCTTCATCCCAGGAGAGCTGGACCTGAAATAATCGGCAATCTTTTCAAACGACTCCTATAGAAAATTAAACAGATCAGAAACTCAGGCCTCTTGAACCAGATGTGAACATGAGATTCAGGACTAAGCAAAACCTTAAAATTTTACTGCCTTAAGAGTGAACTATCTGAGCAAGCCCACTTTTTTCTTCCTATCGGAATTACTTCCTTCATTGACTACATATACGGGTGTGGCATCACACCCCATAGCCCTAAATTCTCCAGGGGCTAAAGAGCAGGAAATCCTGTAAACAGCTGAAATCCCAGACCAGATGGTAAAACACCACAGCTGTTCTGACTGAGAAGTCCAGTTCCCAAGCAGACTTAGGTAAGAGGGCAGACAGTGTAAGTTTTGTAGGTTGAACACAAGCTGTCTTTCCCCTGCTAGCTCCTGAGGGTCCAACAGATACCTGGGCATCCTCAAGCCTCTCTCAAGTGGCATGGGAAGAAGACAGGATGTGGCTTCTCTTCTGTGGCTGATGATGTCCTTGTGTAGCTTTTCTTGTCTCCACTATAGTCTGCTAGCGCTGCTGTATAATTTCTCTTGAGTCGTTATAGGTAACAGTTAGAGACCTGTAGAACTGTTGCTGTATAACAATGTTGACTGAAAATGAGTGAATTGTTTGTTCCTAGTTATAGCCTTTTCCACATATCAGAAAGGCTCATGGCCAGCTCAAAATAACCCCAATAAGGAAGAAAGGTCCCTAGGAGAGATAGTGGCAACAGTCTCTAAATGATCCCAGAGTCAGAGAGAGGATAGCCTGGTATGAAAAGTGGCGGGTTACTACATAGAATGTCTACCTACCATAAGGCAAAAGCGGAATTGCATGGTGTCAACTCAGCAACTCCTTAATGTCCGAGATAACATGCTTATGCTTATTAAAAGCAGAGTATTGAACCATCCATAGCCTAGATCAGTGGATCTCAAACTGTGGGTCAAATGACCCTTTTACAGAGGCCACCTAAGACCATCAGAAAACACAGACATTTACATTATGATTCATAACAGTAGGAAAATTACAGCTATGAAGTGGCAAAAAGTAACTTTATGGTTGGGGGTCACCACGACATGGGAACTATATTAAAGGGTGTTAACATTAGGAAGGTTAAGAACCACTGTCCTAGATGGAGGAGCTATAACTTAACCTAGCTTCCTTGCAATCATACTCTTCCTGCCCCATTCATGGTCTATCACTTTCTCAGGATCCCATGGCCCAAGTAGACAGAGTTGCATCCCAATTTTGACAGTTTGAATCCAGAAAAGTCTGATGCCTTCTCATAGTCAAAGTGGCTGTTTTTCCCCTGTAAAAGGAAGTCAGGTACTCTGGAGATGAGGGAAACACATGTCTTGTCCCGTCTAATCTCACAAATGTCTCCTCATCCCAGGAGAGGCTACACCTTCGCTGGAGCTACAGGACACTGTGCCATTCATCTTGGACCCCAACACGTGGAAAGTGAAAACCACAACAGGACCCATCCTTAGCTACCGAGATTCATCAGATATTTCCTGGGATAATAGCTCCGCTTTATGTATAGGCTCACATGCAGAGTTTTGATTCAGGGAGACCTGACCAGTGTAGTAAGGTTAACAAGGGCTTTCTGTGTAATCCACACATTTTTTTCAGGTAGAAAAAATTGGAACATGGGGCTGACTAGAGGGCGTTTTTTTCCTGGGGGGATCATGTAAAGGAATATAAGTTAAATCACAGCAATTCACATATTTACAACAATCTTTTTAAAAGTAAAGATAAAAGGGTGTGCAGAAATTTCTAGAAATAATGGCCAGTCTAATTATGAGCATGAGGTAAATCTTGAAGCTTATAACAAAGCTTAAAATCTCCTTTAACAAAAGGCTAGAGAGAGAAGCTCTATTCAGGGGCTGAGAAGAGGAGGTAGGGAAAGCTGTAGAATGAGGTCTGTTTCTTTAAGCTGAAGATGGAAGCTGTGTGTGTGGGGTCTGAACATGCAAAGGTAACTAAGCTGTACCCACAGTGCACAAGGACAGTTTAGCATTCTTGGGACCATGTGCACGGCTGTTCCTCTTCTGAAATGTCAACTCCACTCCTCTGGGAAACAAGAAACCATTTTAATGACATAAAATCCATTCAATAGGCCTATGTTCCTCAGAGGCCTGTGAGGGCTATATTTGTCGGAGGCCAAATAAGGACAAGTCACAGATGAAGAAACGGGACGACGGGACGGTCAGTTCCTTGTGGGTGGTGGACCCTTGAATTCTGAGGAGCATGAGGAATTGACCTGAAAGTATCCACAGCCTGTGTTTTGCTGTGTAGCCACACATTAAGGAACCAGTCACCCCTTTGAGGAAACCTTTCTATCAAATTAAGAAGGGATGTGAGTTTTACCTATACTGATTATTGAAAGCCTGGAAATTATGCCTTTACTCCTGTATATGATCTTATGTCACCTAAGGATGCTAAGCAGCATTTCTGAATTAGGTACTTTTCAGAGAACTGCTGACCCTCAAAAGCTCATTGCTCTGGCAGATGAGGGGACTGCTGAAGGTCCCTGAAAATTGCTCTAAACACAAAAATCTCTTCCTCAAAGGACCCGCTCTGACAACAGGTCATATAAACTGCCTGCTGGCCTTCCTTTGTTCACAGGGAAGCAACCTACTTTAATATCCACACTGCAGCACAAAGATTCACAGGGCCCATTTCTGGGGTTCAAAAATGCTTCTGCAGGCCCAGGGAGGCCCCACACCACCTCTGTAGGATAAGGTCACAAAGCAGATTTTTCTTAGTTGTCATTTTATAAACTCCATAGATTTAGCCAAACATTTCCAGGCTCTAGTCATTATTGTTCTGGTAGGCAATTTGTGCCTGGAGTAACAGCAATTTAATGTTATTAATGAAAATGAAAGCTGCTTAGGAAAAAAACATATAAGCTCAGGCTAAGGTGAAAATAGGAAGAACTCATGGATGAGTTTTATTCCTGTTTCTTTTATGCAGTAGAAAGGACAAATAAGACTTTGGTTGCAATAATCAGCCAAAAGTACCATCACCCACATCTGGCATCCCATCTTATTGAACATACCTGCAACCCTTCAATGGCCAATTTAAGGATAGAAGGTGTCAATTTGGAGGCTTGTTTGAAGGAAAAATTACTCCAGTCTATAATTAAAATGAAACCATTTATCTGAAGCTCAGGATCTTCAATAAGGACTTCCAAGGACAGCAGAATGGCACGAAGGATGTCTGTGAAGGAGTTCCTGTGGCCAGAACAGAAAGGAGAGTATGTGTGAGTCTAGAGAGTTGACAGATGGCATACTTTGTGTAGTGACTCTGCTGTCCTTACCCCACCAACCCGTGAATCCTGCATGCTGAGTCACCTTGAGGTTCTATATGCAGAATGAATGAAAATAATTTACTGAACATCCAGGACCAATACTTCAAGATGGCCAGGATGCGTGGGTGCTTCACTTTGATTTGATCACAACGGCACCTTAGACTTAGTGGAATGCCATTCTTTTGCTTCCCTCTGTACTCAACTTCTACTGCATCACTGCTCACACCTTGCAGAAACATCCCTGTACCCAATGTCCCATACTCTGATACCCACTGAGCAGGAGCTGGGCTATAAACCTGTCAGTGTCTTCAGTACCTAGACACTCAATGAATCATTGATAAGCAAACTGAATGAAACTTCAGTCATGGGTGCTTATTTGGATGAAATATTTTTTATTTCTTTTCTATGCTAGAACCTTGTAGAAAGTATAAAAATACCCATACTATTGTTGCTGTATTTTTAGTATTGATTCATGAGTAGCAAAAAAATAAAGCAGGAAGAAGAGCTTATTTTCATTTCAGGTTTACAGGTTGTGATTCAGAAGGGAAATCAATTTGAGTACATCAGTAACTATGACAACAGGCACAGGAATACAAACTAAGGTGATAGTTCTCCAAAGCTGTATATAAATTTCCACATCACAGGTCCAAATCACTGCTGACTTTCATTTAAATAGTTTTCAGACATGATGAAATGATAACATAGGCACTTGCAAATGAGGTGAAATGAAAATCTAATGTTACAAGATCTTTATAATCAGTGTCTTTGATGAGCTAAAAGATATAAGTCTGGATGTCAAATGTCTGTAAATTCATTCTATGACTTCCTTCAGGCTTTCATTAGATCCAGAATCTGGGTCATGGGGTCTCTGTCAAAGGATTCATAAGCTCAGAGTTCTGTTTCACACTTGTAGTTACGTTAGTATGCCTTGTCTCTACTTTCAAAGATAATGGTTGGAAGGGGTCAGAAATGAACTACATGAGTTGAGAGAGGCTGAAACCACTTGTTCATCTGGGAAGTGTGTATGAAAGTTTGATGGCTTAGAATAAACTTGAAATAAACATGCTTGGGGTAGATAATTCAGATAATGAAGAATGAGATATTTCAGTACTGAAGAGAGACCTAAATAAAAATAAAAATAAACAGCCCACTCTGCTCCTGCTCTTTGTAAAAGTTTTTTTTTCTCTGATGTCCAGCTAGCATGTTCCTTTCCTCAACGTACCCACTTAGATCAGACCTGGTGTATGGGGGTGGGTGAGCGCTCAGAGCTACCCACATCATGCACTTTCAACTGTGACACATGATGTTTATGGACCTGTATGACTGCCAGATAGAAATGGTAGCTCTTGGTGCTTTTCTTTCTTTTTTATACTTGAAATGTATATATTTTTATTTTTTATTATTTTTTCTTTAGGTTAGAAACAAGAAACAATCTTGTTGCACAGGTCAATCCCAGTTCTCTCTTGCTCCCCTTTCCCCCCTCCTCACCAGGTCCCCCAGCCCCCCACCCAATCTCCACTAGGATCCCCAGGGAGGGTGAGTAACTTTCATTTCATTTCATGCAGGGAAGGGCCTAGGCCCTCCCACAAGAGTCCAGGGTACTCAAAGTCTATTTGTACACCAGGGATAAATATTAACCAAGGCCCCATAGATTATCTAGGCTTCCTCACTGACACCCACATTCAGGGAGTCTGGGTCAGTCCCATGTTTTCCACACAGCCATCAATCTGCTGTCCAAGTTCTTTACTTATCATTATTGTTTTCTTTTTAAAATCACAGCCTATTTTAGAGATACCATGGTCTTAGAAACTCAGGGTAAGTTTTAACGGAGTTGGTTTTGCTTGTGGCTTGGATTTAGTTTACACACTCACCATAAAAGTTACTTAAGTCAGAAATACACCTTTGTCTTGTGAAGAAATACTGAATTAAGGAGAACATGAAGCCCAAACTATGTATTCAGGCAATGTCACATGGTGTTATAAAAATATCCAGTGGCCAACTGAAAACGGCTATTTGGGAATCAAGGAACCTGAGCTTGGATAAGCAAAGCTTGACATACAACCAGAGCTGAGAATTCGAGTCTTCCATTAACCTTATATACAGTATTGAAGGTGAAGGGAGAAGAATTAGAGAAACAACAAAGGTGAATAGATCAAGACAGAATGGTTTAATAATAAGAACAGAATGTTCTTGTACATGAAAAACAGTATTTCTACATCACTAACTCCAAGTTCTCATGTCCTACCTGCTCATTAAGGACATAGCTCCTTTCTATGTGATTTGCCTTGATTGGTGGCATGTACACAGACAAAAAATGTTGCCAGTTTTTAGTCTTGTTCTTCAAGGACCTGACATCTCATCCCGTTCTCTTTCCCTTGTGCTAATGTCCCGGTCAAGCCACAGTGCAGCTAGAATGACAGATTGAGGATGAGACATCCACAGAACAGAGAAACCCAGCTGGCTGTCAGGTCTCCCTTAGGAAGCAGAAAGGCTAGTCTCAGCCTTGCCTGGATAAACTCTCCACAGACAGAAGAGCAGGAATAAACAATTACTTTTTAAACTGTTGGGTGTGTTGTTAGGGTTTGCTGTGTGTCACTAACTGTCCAAGACAAGAGAATGGTTTTAAAGCCCAGGGCACCTGCAAGGTTAAAGAGAGTGAGGAAGAAAAAATAACCAACATGTTCACAAGGAAATCTTGCTATTGTTTAGTTGTTTGCTTGATTGACTTTCTGAGACTAGGTCCTACTCTGAATCCCAGAATGGCTTCAAATTCCCAATTCAGCTATCTCTGTCTCCCAAGTGCTGGGAATATAGGTGTGAACCAAGACTTCCAGCCACAGAGTACATTCTGAGTGAGTTTTGAGAGAGAAAGAGCCTTTAGTTGATGGTTGAAGATGGGATTTGATAATCATGAAAATACTTAGTAAGTTAACTATTTTCTACTTTATTTTACTTCTCAAGTAAGAGATGTATCTTCTCCCAGAGCATATTCCCTCATATCTACTTTTAAAATAAAACCAGAATTCAGAGCAGGAATTGGCAAGAAGAATGATGTTACACACATGACATGATTCCATGAGTAAACTAAAAGGATTGTGGACTCACTTTCCCTTCCAAACATTCACATGCTTCACTTTTATAGATGGGCAGGGAAACAGCAGACAGACTAGGTGTTTGGAGGCATCACTGTTACTAGAGTGTGGCCTTGCTGCTTACCTTAGCTAGAAATATACCATCCCTGAATTCTTGACTTCCTCATATAAATCTCCCCTTCCTCTTTACTTTTTGTGATATGCTTCATTTGTGAAATACTCCTACCTATTTGGAATATGAATTTGACACCAAAGTAAATAATTTATGCAGATAATCCACCCTGGAGGATTTGGGGCATAATTACCCACTCCATAAATACCGGCTGAACAGAGTGACTCCTTTCTGAAGAGCAGAGTAAGGAGAGGAGGTGCTGCATAGCAGGGAAATCTGGGGACACAGCTTGAGCCAGGGGACCAAGGGTGGTTTTACCAAAGAGAAATTGCAAAGCCTTTTTTTTCTTGCAATGATGTCAAAAATGGTACTTTATTTCTGAAACTGTCCTCCCCCACATCATGCTGTCTGACCAACAATGAAGAAAACACTAAACACATTTCACTTGAAGGACATCCGTGAAACAGATGACCAGTATTTGTCACAATAGTGAAGTGTGTCAAAACACAAGGAAATGCTGAGCGATTGGCACAGTTGAAAGGACTCTAAGGAGACACTACAGCTAAGGTAACATGATCTCTTGAGTAGGATGCTGAGACAGAAGAGACATTGGTAAAAACTGAGGCAATCTGAATGATGTGTGGAAAACAGTGAATAGGAGAAGCTTAATGTGGTTCTTTAGTTTTGACAAATAATACAGACTATGACATTAATCGAGACAAACCAGGCACCCTCCCCATAATTTGTAAGTCTAAAATTGTTACAAACATGGTTATTTTTAATACAACAGGCCTACTGGAGCTTGGGGCTTGTTACCGTGAGTCTTTGTGCTCTAATACGGTTTCTAGCCAAACCAAAATGGCCATTAACAATTCAACTTAAAGCAAATTGTGGTTGTAAGAACAAAAGCCACTTTCAGAGTGTCTTCACCAGATGAACTGATGTAGACATTGGTTGTTTAACTCTAATAACCCAGAGGAAAAAGATTAATTTTTGCCTGTAATCAAAATTAGATCCGAATATTTTAACATGTGTTTCAGAACGAACTAACAGATGAAAATTGGTATTTGCATTTCATCCATGCTTCCTATAATTTGCATAGCTTTTGTATTGTCAGAACTTAGTGTGAAATTTTTAACCTCCTATGAAAGTGCTATGTGAACTGTAAATTGCCAATGAAATGTAATGAATTATCCTAAAAAGGGAAACTTTGAAATATTCCCATATGGATTTTGGTTAAACAGGACATAGCGGTGGGTTCTAACAGTACTTCATCATCATACTGAGACCGTGAATACAGCTCATTTTAAGGTTCTCTTGTTGTGTTTATAGTTTTATTATTGCTTAACATCACCATTTAAGGCTTTAAAATCTACTACAAGTGAGAAACAAAATAGTGTAAAACAGCGGTTACCAGTTAGAAGATGTTTAGTTTTCAAGAACTGACTCGTTTGTCTTGACTTTGTAGGAGAGATTCTAAGACTTCAATCCCAAGGCTTGATCCATATAAGAAAAAGAGGTCATATGTGAGCAGATAATCATGTAGATGTGTGATGGGATTGTTAATAATCCTTGTTCTCAGGAAGAATGGGAGAGAACTTCTCAGCCATTTCCATAACCACAGTGCATATTCCTGCAGTAATTTTTTATTGTAGCAAGAACTCATTAGTATTTGGAATTAAAGCTCTCATGTAAATTCTAATATTGACCGAACATTGT